AATTCAGAGGAGCGCGAAAGTGGGTTTTGGGGTTGGGAAAAAAAAAAAAAACTAAAAAAAAAAAAAAAAAGAATTAAAAATAAGATCGTGGCTGAGACAGTAGAAATTTATGCCGTTGTTCTTGCTGAGTGAGGATGTAAGTGGTAAGGGCTGGGTGGGAGAAGATTGGTGTGGGCTAAGAGAAACCTGCAGGTTGGGCATGTGCTTTTGGTGTGAGGTTGGCACCGTGGGGCTGCCCTCGAGGTGTGGGGTGTCCATCCGTGGGGTGTGAGCATCCCGGGGTGATGCATTGTCCGGCTGCATCCTGGGGTGTGGGATGAGCATCCCTGGAGTGTGTGTCACACACACGTGGTCCCAGGACCATGCATCATCTGGCTCCATTTTGGGGTGCAGGATTTTGATCCCTGGGGATGTGCATCACCGACCAGTGTGGACTGAGCATCCTGGGGTGCTGCATTGTCTGGCTGCATCTCGGGGTGCAGGATGAGCATCTCTGGGGGTTGGGCATGTGCTTTTGGTGTGAGGTTGGCACCGTGGGGCTGCCCTCGAGGTGTGGGGTGTCCATCCGTGGGGTGTGAGCATCCTGGGGTGATGCATTGTCCGGCTGCATCCTGGGGTGTGGGATGAGCATCCCTGGGGTGTGTGTCACACACACGTGGTCCCAGGACCATGCATCATCCAGCTGCATCTTGGGGTGTGGGATGAGCATCCCTGGAGTGTGTGTCACACACACGTGGTCCCAGGACCATGCATCATCTGGCTCCATTTTGGGGTGCAGGATTTTGATCCCTGGGGATGTGCATCACCGACCAGTGTGGACTGAGCATCCCAGGGCGACGCATCATCCACATTTTGGGGTGCAGGATTTTGATCCCTGGGACTGTGTGTCATCCCAGGGTGATGCATTGTCCAGCTGCATCTCGGGGTGCAGGATGAGCATCCCTGGGGGGGTGTGTCACCAACCAGCATCCCAGGATCATGCATGGTCCAGCTGCATCTTGGGGTGTGGGATGAGCATCCCTGGAGTGTGTGTCACACACACGTGGTCCCAGGACCATGCATCATCCAGCTGCATCTTGGGGTGCAGGATGAGCATCCCTGGGGGGGTGTGTCACCAACCAGCGTGGGATGAGCATCCCGGGGCCGTGCATCATCCAGCTGCATCTTGGGGTGCAGGATGAGCATCCCTGGGGGGGTGTGTCACCAACCAGCGTGGGATGAGCATCCCGGGGCCGTGCATCATCCAGCTGCATCTTGGGGTGCAGGATGAGCATCCCTGGGGGGGTGTGTCACCAACCAGCGTGGGATGAGCATCCCGGGGCCGTGCATCATCCAGCTGCATCTTGGGGTGCAGGATGAGCATCTCTGGAGTGTGTGTCACCAACCAGTGTGGGATGAGCACCCCAGGACCACCTTTTTCCAGCTGCATTCACAGTATGGGATGTACATCCATGGGGGGGTGTGTCACCAACCAGCGTGGGATGAGCATCCCGGGGCCGTGCATCATCCAGCTGCATCTTGGGGTGTGGGATGAGCATCCCAGGACCATGGATTGTCCGGTTGCATCTTGGGGTGTGGGATGAGCATCCCTCGGGGGGACCATCACTGACCAGTGTGGGCTGAGCATCCCAGGGCGACGCATCATCCAGCTGCATCTTGGGGTGCAGGATGAGCATCCCAGGACCACACATTGTCCGGCTGCATCTTGGGGTGTGAGGTGAGCATCCCTTGGGGGGACCATCACTGACCAGTGTGGGCTGAGCATCCCAGGGCGATGCATCATCCTGCTGCATCTTGGGGTGTGGGATGAGCATCCCAGGACCATGCATTGTCCGGCTGCATCTTGGGGTGTGAGGTGAGCATCCCTGGGGATGTGCATCACCGACCAGTGTGGGCTGAGCATCCCGGGGTGACGCATCGTCCGGCTGCATCTTGGGGTGTGGGATGAGCATCCCAGGACCATGGATTGTCCGGCTGCATCTTGGGGTGCAGGATGAGCGTCCCAGGACCACGCATTGTCTGGCTGCATCCTGGGGTGTGGGGTGAACATCCCTGGGGGGTAGCTGCATCTTGGGGTGCAGGATGAGCATCCCAGGACCACACATTGTCCGGCTGCATCTTGGGGTGTGAGGTGAGCATCCCTTGGGGGGACCATCACTGACCAGTGTGGGCTGAGCATCCCAGGGCGATGCATCATCCTGCTGCATCTTGGGGTGTGGGATGAGCATCCCAGGACCATGCATTGTCCGGCTGCATCTTGGGGTGCAGGATGAGCATCTCTGGAGTGTGTGTCACCAACCAGCGTGGGATGAGCATCCCGGGGCCGTGGATCATCCAGCTGGATCTTGGGGTGCGGGATGAGCTTCCCAGGGGGTGTGTGTCACCAACCAGTATCCCAGGATCATGCATCATCCAGTTGCATCTTGGGGTGTGGGATGAGCATCCCAGGACCACACATTGTCCGGCTGCATCTTGGGGTGCGGGGTGAACATCCCTGGGGGGTGCAGCACCAACCAGTGTGAGCTGAGCATCCCAGGACCACGCATCGTCCGGCTGCATCTCGCGCTGGGGGACGTGTCTCCCTCGGGATGCTCATGGAGGATCCGTGCCACTCAGAGCTGGGCTTCCCGAGGTTTGGCCGGGCAAGGAGCCGGGGGGGTTGGGGTCTGGTCCTCAGGGTGCTGCGGGGGGGATGAGCTTGGGGGTGCGGGGAAGGCTGGAGCAGAGAGGCGGAGGGGATGCTGAGGGGGGGTTCCCCCCGCCTGCCCTGCCCGTTCGGCGGGTGCACAGTGCCCTCCAGTGGGCACATCCCGGCTGCCGGCCCCACAGCTGGCCAGATGTGTGGGGGGGGGTTCCCCCCGCCTGCCCTGCCCGTTCGGCGGGTGCACAGTGCCCTCCAGTGGGCACATCCCCGCTGTCGGCCCCACAGCTGGCCAGATGTGCCCCACTGCTAGCCAGATGTGCCCCACCGTTGGCCAGATGTGCCCCACAGCTAGCCAGATGTGCCCCACCACTCCACAAGAATGCCCCATCCTCTTCAACCATGGGTGCGATGAGCTGGGAGGGGGATCTCAACTCTGTCCGGGGAGGGGTTTGTGGGCTGGGGGATGGGACGGGGACAACATTGCCATCCATGGGATGTCCTCTCCTCCTCTCCTTCCCCATCCCGTCTCACTGCAAGTTCCTCTTCTTTGCAACCTTGAGGGCCACGTTGTCGTACTCGGTGTCCCCCAGCCACTCCTTGCCCTGCAGCAGGAAGGGTTGCCGGAGGGGGACGGGTCTCTTGGGCACGGCGTAGTCATCCCGTTGGGGGTTGTAGGGGTACTCGTGCCCCGTGGGCTCCTCCGAGGCCGCCTGCAGCCTCCACGCCTCCCCCTTCACCTCCTCGGGCTCATCGTAGACGGTGTTGGGGGACAGACCCTCGGGCTCGTCGTAGATGTGGTCGGGTTTGGCGGTGGTGGGGCGCGGAGGGGGCTGTTGGCCCGTTTGCCCCCCCGCCGCCCCGACGCTGTCGTAGAAGGGGTCGGGGAGCTCCTTGGGGTGATGGACCAAGCTGCTGAACTTGCCAGCCACGAAGGTCTTGGCGATGGTGTCGAAGGGGACGGCGTACTCGGATTCGGTGGCCACCTTGGCCGGAGCATCCTGCCTCCGGTTCTTCTCTGGCAACGGGGGGTTCCCCCGGCGCAGGGAGTTGCAGGGCTCAGAGTAGGGGCCATCGGCACCACGAGAGGGCAAGAAGGTGCCCAAGGGCTCCCCAGTCCCGGGGCAGCTGCTGGGGGGCATGACCAGCTTGGGTTTCGGCCCCTTCCCCTCCCAGGTGGGCTCCAGCTTGGTGCCACCAGGCTCCTCATGCCCCTGCGCCCAACTGGGCATCTTGGCATGGCCGAGTGGCCGGGAGGCTTCGTCCCCAGGGCCCCCCCGCCATGGCTCCTCGGCCCCCCGGCCCCGATGGACGTTGATGGCCGACTCAATGGCCTGGAAGATCTCGTTGCCTTGCCTGGTCTCAAACTCAAAGTTGCCTTCTCCGGATGCACAGCGCCGGCCGGCCTCAAAGGAGAAGGTCACCTGGGGAGGGACGGGATGAGGTGGCCACAGCCCACCCCCTCAGCCCACCCTCCCTGGTGTCCCCCCCAGCCTTACCTTATCCCTCCCAAAGCGCCGCAGGAAGCGGTAGGGCCAGCTGTAGATGATCTCCAAGGTCTGGAAATCCAGCAGCTCCAACGCTTCCTCCCCGGCTCGCAGGATGCACCGTCCCCAGAGCCGGCAGCGCTCGGAGGACTCAGTGGCCCTCACCGTCACCTTGAACGCCTGCTCCGAGCCGGCTGGGGAGGGAGGAGGGGGGCATTTCATAGAATCATAGAATTATAGAATCATTGAGGTTGGAAGAGACCCTTGGGATCATCGAGTCCAACCATCTCCCCTACTCTACAAAGTCCTCCCCTACACCATGTCCCTCAGCACTGCATCTAAACGGCCCTTAAACACAGCCAGGGATGGGGACTCCACCCCCTCCCTGGGCAGCCTGTTCCAATGCCCGACCACTCTTGGGGTGAAAAATTCCTTCCTAATATTCAGTCTAAACCTCCCCTGTTGGAGCTTGAAGCCGTTCCCTCTCGTTCTGTCATTAATTACTTGTGAGAAGAGACCAGCACCAACCTCTCTACGGTGTCCTTTCAAGGAGTTCTAGAGAGTGATGAGGTCTCCCCTCAGCCTCCTCTTCCTCAAACTAAACAGTCCCAGCTCCTTCAGCCGCTCTTCATATAGAATCATAGAATCACAGAATCATTCAGGTTGGAAGAGACCCTTGGGATCATCGAGTCCAACCATCTCCCCTACTCTACAAAGTCCTCCCCTACACCATGTCCCTCAGCACTGCATCTAAACATCCCTTAAACACATCCAGGGATGGTGACTCCACCCCCTCCCTGGGCAGCCTGTTCCAATGCCCGACCACTCTTTGGGTGAAAAATTCCTTCCTAATGTTCAGTCTAAACCTCCCCTGTTGGAGCTTGAAGCCGTTCCCTCTCCTTCTGTCATTAATTACTTGTGAGAAGAGACCAGCACCAACCTCTCTACAGTGTCCTTTCAAGTAGTTGTAGAGAGTGATGAGGTCTCCCCTCAGCCTCCTCTTGACAGAGTTGCATCTCCCACCCCTGGAAGGGATGCTGTGGGGACCCATCGCTCCCCCCCCACCTCCCCAACCTCCCCCCCGTGAGCCGGGGAAGCGGCGTCCGGCCGATAAGGCAAACCCCAGCCCTCACCAAACCACAGAGCAGGAAGAGGCTATTTTGGGAGACTTTCCACCGCGGCGACGTGCAGGCTGCTCCCCGGCACAAACCCGGCCGAGGTGTCGAGGGAAAAGGGGGGGTGATGAGATGCTGGGGGGCCTGCGCTGCCTCCCATGCCAACAAACCCACCTTCCCCCCCCTGCCTGGTACCCACCTTTATCCCGGGAGCTGTAGAGGGAGTTTTCCTCCATGGAGAACCCGCCGTCGGTGCCCTGCGAGCTCTGCTGGCCATCTTTGCCTCCTGCCTGCTCCTCCCTGCTCCTCTGCCCCGGGGAAAGAGCGGTGGGTGAGAGAGGGCATCTCCCATCGGGATCTTCCCACAGAGACCCGAGGGCAGAGCAGGGCATCCCCATCAGGATTTTCCTGCAGGATCCCAGGACAGAGCAGGGCATCCCCATTGGGACCTTCCTGCAGGATCTGAGGATGGAGCAGGGCATCCCCCATTCGGATTTGCCCACAGGATCCAAGGATGGATCCCCCATCGGGATCTACCTGCAGGGACCCGAAGGCAGAGCAGGGCATCCCCCATTGGGATTTTCCTGTAGGATCCCAGGGCAGAACAAGGCATCCCCCATCAGAATTTTCCTGCAGGGATCAGAGGACAGAGCAGGGCATCCCCATTGGGATTTTCCCTCAGGATCCGAGGACAGAGCAGGGCATCCCCATCGGGATCTTCCCACAGGGATCAGAGGACAGAGCAGGGCATCCCCATTGGGACCTTCCTGCAGGATCTGAGGATGGAGCAGGGCATCCCCCATTCGGATTTGCCCACAGGATCCAAGGATGGATCCCCCATCGGGATCTACCTGCAGGGACCCGAAGGCAGAGCAGGGCATCCCCCATTGGGATTTTCCTGTAGGATCCCAGGGCAGAGCAGGGCATCCCCCATCAGAATTTTCCTGTAGGATCCCAGGGCAGAGCAGGGCATCCCCCATCAGAATTTTCCTGCAGGATCCCAGGGCAGAGCAGGGCATCCCCATTGGGATTTTCCCTCAGGGATCTGGGCACAGAGCAGGGCATCCTCCATCCGGATTTTCCCTCAGGATCCGAGGATTGAGCAGGGCATCCCCCATCAGGATCTACCCTCAGGGATCCGAGGGCAGAGCAGGGCATCCCCATTGGGATTTTCCTGTAGGATCCCAGGGCAGAGCAGGGCATCCCCCATCAGAATTTCCCCACAGGATCCAAGGATGGATCCCCCATCGGGATCTACCCTCAGGGATCCGAGGGCAGAGCAGGGCATCCCCATTGGGATTTTCCCTCAGGATCAGAGGATGGAGCAGGGCATCCCCCATCCGGATTTTCCCACAGGATCCAAGGATGGAGCAGGGCATCCCCATCGGGATTTTCCTGCAGGAATCTGAGGGCAGAGCAGGGTATTCCCATTGGGATTTTCCTGTAGGATCCGAGGGCAGAGCAGGGCATCCCCAATCCGGATTTTCCCACAGGATCCAAGGATGGATCCCCCATGGGAATCTACCCTCAGGGATCCGAGGGCAGAGCAGGGCATCCCCATTGGGATTTTCCCTCAGGATCCCAGGGCAGAGCAGAGCATCCCCATTGGGATCTTCCTGCAGGGATCAGTGGACAGAGCAGGGCATCCCCATTGGGATTTTCCTCCAGGGATCAGTGGACAGAGAAGGGCATCCCCATGGGGATTTTTCCAAAGGGATCCGAGGGCATCTCCCATTGGGATCTTCCCGCAGGGATCCGAGGGCCGAGCAGGGCATCCCCCATTGGGACTTTCCTGCAGGATCCCAGGGCAGAGCAGGGCATCCCCCATCAGGATTTTCCTTCAGGAATCTGAGGGCAGAGCAGGGCATCCCCATCGGGATTTTCCCTCAGGATCTGAGGACACAGCAGGGCATCCCCATCGGGATTTCCCCCCAGGGATCCCCCCATACCCCGTGCCCCAGGTACCCCCCGTGGCTGCGTTACCGGGAAGGCCAGCTCGCACAGCTTCTGGATCCAGTCGGCCACCTCCGTGCCCTCGGCAGCCAGGAGGAACCGCTTGTCGGTGGTCTCCAGGAGGAAGGGGAAGGTCTCCTTGGGGCAACCAGCATCGCCACCGACCTCGGCCACGTGGACACAGTCGCTCAGCTTGACCAGCTTCTTGCTGCCCTCGCTTTTCCGAAGCTTTTCGGCAGCTGGTGGAGCCGAGCCCTCGAAGAGCTCCAGGCGGGCGGTGGAGCAAGGGCTTTCCCGGTACAAGATGCCCCAGAACTTCTTCCATTTCTGCCGCCAGAGGAGAAAAAACCCAGAGTTTGTTCACTTTTCCAGGAGTTTTTAATCCCCTCGGCATCATGTGCCACCCCCGGGGCAGGATATGGGTTCAAACCGGGCAGGATCTCGCACTGGGTTTGGTTGGATGGCCAAAGCCAGGGTGGGGGGGAGATTAATTGGGCTGAGTAGGGAAAATTATCCCTAATTAAGAGCATCACCAGCCATATCCCTAACAGGGCAAGGCTTTTCCAGCCGGGAAAGCCACCGGCAGCATCCCATCCCCACCCGGCACCGGGATCCATCCCACCCCAAAGCTGTGCCCACATCCCCCCCAACGCCAAAGGACTTTCAGCTCCTCTTTTTCTGCGTTTTCCCTGAAAATACCGATTTTCCAAGCCATTCCCTGCTCGCCCTCCGGGGAGGCAGCCGCCCAGGGTGCACGGAAACGGAGGAGGAGGAGGAGGAGGAGGAAGCCTCACACCCACATCAGACCATTCTCCGCGGCGGCTCCTGGCACCGGGGGCTGTGCCGAAATACGGCACCCTTTTTGCTGGGGAGTGTTTTTGGGGACCCACCATGGGGGTGCCCCCTGCCCCGTCCTCCTCCGTGGCTGGCACCGTGCTGCAGGAAGGCAATGCCGTGCCTGTCCCCTTGCTTGCCACCCTGCCCCCTGGCATTTTGAGCCCCCCCACCCCGTGGATGGTGGCCACGGGGACCACCTGCCCCCTGCCCGGGCGAGGGACCCGGAGACACCAGGGTGGCTCCTTCCCCTTCTTGCACAAGAGCAGGAGCCGTTGCCAAACCCTGGGCGTTATCGGCCACCGAAAGCCACGAGGCTCTGGGGGTTGCAGCCCTTCATTCCACGGCTCCCACTTGGTGCTGGGGGGGTCCAGCCAAGGGGGGGGGGTCTTCTCTTGGTGGCACGTCCCCAGCTCCTTCCATCCTCCTCCCTGTCCCCACTGGCCTGACGGAGAGCCCAAGGATGGTTGAGGAGCCAACGGGTGGGAGCATCCCATTCCCTTTGGGTGCAACCCCCGCTCTCTACCCCCCATTTCCAGCCCAGCCCCCCCACAGGGGGGGTTCCCCAAGGACCGAGCAGCCCCCCCTCACCACCTCCTCACCTTCCCAAAAGTCTGCTGCAGCTGGAGGTGGAGCACACCCTGCTTCACCACCGCCTCCTCCATCCTCCAGCCACCAGCATCCTCCCGCGCTGCCGCCCCTCCGCCGCCGGCCCCCGCCGTGTCCCACAGTTCTGGGGGGGGTCCCGTCCTGCCTGCACCCCCCTCCCCGTCCCCCCGCAGTGCTGCTGTCGCGACGTGTGGTGCCGTCTCAGCATGTGACGTGCGGTCGGGCTCTTCTATTTCCTACGCTCTCACAGGGCGCGGGCTCCGGCTTCCTGCGCCTCTGAGCT